TCGAGACCAAGACCATCAAAAAATGGTCTCGAGACTGGTCTCGAGACCAAGACCGATCTCGAGTACCACAACACTGGTTTGAATCATGTATTTTATGTCTGAACATTAGAACTTTTGATCAAATGCAGAACAGTTTTACTGTCATGAGTTATATAGTCACATAAAAGTAAACTGTGTAAAATAAATTAGAAGCTTAAACAAATCTTTATGTGGTGATAAGAACAATAAAATTGAATCAGATCAGAACATCACTGTAAAATGAGTCACTTCTGTCTGAAGAACAACATAACTGAGATAGCATGACTAACTTTTAAGGGATGAATATAAAACCAGTGTAATTTTGTAAACAAGATATTTCTAATAATAAACAGCTTTACTTTAATTTCATCTTGAAACAAATTTTGAAAATTTCTTTAATTGCAAAAATTTTTTACTTATTGTTTTTATCAATCTATGTTTCCTCGAGTACAAGTAGGGTTTATTGTAATTGTGATATTTAATGATACAACATTTGTTAACATATGCTGTGGAACATAAATAAAGAGAATTCTTCTTAAACCAGACAATTTATGACATTTTGACACAATGACTGAAATGACACATTAGAAAACCTTTTAAAAAGCTGATAGAAATATTTAGCAAACATACAGTTACATTTCCAGATGTTCTGGCTCAAAAATGCATAAGGTAATTTTGCACACTCACTTTACCTGAGGGCACTTTAGGTCCAGTCACAAACCTTAGTATACCTCAGTATGCACTGGGAGAAAATACAATGACTTCTACTTAAAGACCTTTTGTTGTTATATAATCCTTCCGGACCTCCCAGGTCTTCTGGTTCTGCTCTGCATCTCCAGAACCAGAACCGAACATGGAGAAACAGCATACATCTATACATCACAAATCTGGGGGATGAGCAGTGCCACACAGGAGTGGTTAACAGCGCTAAGACCCTCCTCTTGGATCTGATTGGTTGTTTCTAGTTAGCACTTGGAGCACTGGGGAAAGGCAGAGGAGCTTGATTTTTTCACAGATTATGTGTCAGTTTTAACAAATATGTAAAATATATATATATTTTCAAAATGTATAATACACATGTATAATGAGGCACGAAAGTGTGGTTTAGTGATGAACTCAGACCTGGACCTTCAGAGACACATAAAGACAGTTTGCAAAGTCAGTCTTGTATCACCAACCCTATTTCTAGGATTAAAGGATTAATGCTTCAGGAAGATCTAGAGAAGATCGTCCACTAATCCATGTATTTATTGCATGGATTACTGCTTGCTTCCATCTTAAAGAGCATATTATTGTGATGTGCTCAATAAAAGACTGTGAACCTCAGCTTATGAACACAAAACTGTACATCTGTAGAAATTGTAACTTGATATGATTCTTTTGTACTTCCTTTTCTTTCCAATAGAGGGCAGAATATTCCTGAATATAAAATACTTTTTAAGTTCTCTGTGGGAGCATTTAGTCACAGAGATTTACAGTCTCAAATATTTAGTTGAATTTCCTACAACTTGTCAGCTCTAATAAACCGTCTGTGTGCAGAATAATAATTGTACTACAGTATCAATGTGTAAACTGCTGTTTAAGAATGTCATGAAGTGGAGGAGATAGTGGTGAGAGAGAACACTGACGACCCAGGTAGAAATGAAAAAATGATGGTTTTAATGAAAAATCCACAAAAACAAAATCCAAACATACAGGCAGCACATGGAAGAACAGAAGGCAAAAGGTCCACGACTGAACAGACTGGCACAGAGAACAATGACAGACGACGTTAGATGAGGACCCAACAAGAGACTAAGGACACAGGTGGACCTAAATACACAGGAAGGGTAATTAGGGAACAAGACACACCTGGGAAGCAATCAAGGGGGAAGAGACAGGACACCACAGAGACTCATGGAAACAAAACCTAGAAAATAAACACAAAAAAACTCAAATCCTTACAAAGAAACTGAAACCTGAATTGTTATTTTTATTTGTTGACCTTTTATGGTTTCCATGAATTTTGTAGATTATTTGCATCTCACTTTTAATTTTTTTTTCTTTTGCCTTGATGGAAAAAATAAACATGAAACTACATTAATTTCCACCTCTGGACAACCTCTTTGATCAACATAGTTATATTTAGAAATTCAACACTCAAATGAAAAGACGACATAATTCATAAATGTTTTGACTGTAAAGGAAAAGATTATGATTGAAGTCTTTACTTCTTATTTCAACTTTTGTTTGGTAAGTTTACCTGTCAGGTAAGTGTTTGACATTCTACTCAGGAGTTCCAGTTTATCAGCATTTGTCAGACGCATAAAGCAGAAATAAAAACTTTGACTTGTGACAGAAAATAGTTTTCTCTTCCTGTCATGGTGTCATTCCATTGGACACCTGAGGGTTGGACTAGTCCCTGAGCTTGGTGACATTACAGACATTTAGACTTGTAGATTGATTCATGAACAATGCTCCACTTGGCCTTTTACTTGTGTTTTTGTGGAATTTCTGTGTTACTATAGATTTTAAAAAGTATATATTTTACATTTAAATACATACAGGGGAAATCTGTTACATTGATTATGATTTGTCAAACAAAGGCTTTTGTAATGAAACTAGAAAACCAAGGAACTAGAAAAATACTGTGAGATATAATCTGTGGTAAAAATAGCCTTTGCTGTGTTGCCACAATCAGTGCAGTGGAATCTCAGTCATGCTCTGAACCTCCCAGATCAGATTGAAGTCAAAACCTGGAGGACTTGTTTGTTGACTTGGCAGACTTTGTGTCAAGAGAACAAGGAAATAGCAGCGTATTTTTCATTTGTAATTTCGTGTGGATTAGAGTTTTCTCACGGACACATATATGGTAAAGTAACAATGTCTTTATTCTGTATTTACGGTTTGTATGTTTTTGTCTCATTACATAAATAACTTGTTTATGTGTTACTGAACTGTATCCTTTCAAAACAACTCATGTTGCTGCAGGTTAGGAGGAAGGTAAAAAGTCACATTTAAGGTTTTAACTAACAATTTTCCTGTGTAAAACTGTTCCTTACAGGGGAAATCTGTTACATTGATTATGATTTGTCAAACAAAGGCTTTTTGTAATGAAACTAGAAAACCAAGGAACCAGAACAATACTGTGAGATATAAATAGACATGTTATTTATTTGTTTTGTTTTGTTTTATACAAATGTCAAGGATTCATATATCCAAAGCAAGACCTTTTCTACAAAAGTTAGATCACAATCTTGTTCTTCTCTGCCGGTAATAGAAACCCTTTGTTTAGAGACAACATGTAAAGGAAAAGACTGTGAGACGTGAGATAGTGGTCAAGCTAAAGAAGCCTTGCAGGGTTGTTCTGAGGCTACAAACTGGAGACTTTGTGCCGACCACATGGAGAGGACATCAATATGCCCTGACTGAGTGTGTGACAGACTATATAAGTCTCCATATGGACAACCACACAGCAGAACTGTGAGATGCTTCTTAAGCAAAAGGGAGATCAGTCTCTACAACAACTCTTTGAAGTACCTTGACTAATATGCAAATCAATAATAACATTTAATTTTCCTTTGGGATCAATGAAGTATGTTTGAATTGAATTGAATTTTAGATAACATCATAATAGAGCATTAGGATATCCAGTATGACTTTAACTGATTCTAACACATTTTGTCTTTGTAAAGGACATTTTACAATGAGTCAGACTGAGAAAAGGAATGAGACATTCAGGTCCTTAAATGATCGTCTGTCCTCCAAAAGTAACGCTCAGATTGGACCTGAAAGGTAAGATGATTAATCAACACTCTAAAAGCACATGCTGTACTTCATGTGAAACATTGTTTGATTTTGGGAGAACTATGCTAGTTTGTTACATTTACATTTTACTGAAATCCAAAAATGCTTCATTTGTTTCAGGAATGAGAAATCTTAATTCCATTTAATTCAGTTAATTTGTATAGAACCAATGCACAACAAACATCATATTGAGGCTATTTACAAAATAACTCACTTTAATTCAATCACACATACAATTCAGTCACATTATTAATCATAGTGATTAAAAAGCACACTCAGTAACTTGCAGCATTCACCTTTTCTGGACGAGCATTTAGCGACAGTCAAAAATCACTTTCATTGTGTCTTTGACTTTACAGCAGGGGTGTCCAAAGTCAGTCCTCAAGGGCCGACATCCTGCATGTTTTAGTTCTCTTCCTGGTGGTAGTAACAACCTTTTCACCTTTTCAGTGTTCCTCTTAGGCCTTCTAATGAGCCATCATTTGGTCAAGATGTGTTAAACCAGGGAGAGAACTAAAACATGCAGGATGCCGACTTTGGGCGCCCCTGCTTTACAGCAATCCCTCACACCAAGCATGCATGTAGTGGAAAGGAAAAGGTAGAAAAGAAAAGAACGCATCCAGCTATCTCAGTTATGATGCATTGATGATTATAAACCTCATGATTGTTAATGATCTTTTTTATTTCAGGTTTTTGTGTTTTTTGATCCACACAATTAACATTTTCAGATGTTTCTTCCTGCAGAAAGTCTTATCATTTATTGCTAACTGTTATGTTGCTTGAATTTTATCCTTGAATTATCTGAGGACTTGGTAGATGAAGTTGAAGAAGTCCTCCAAAATCTGTTTTCCTAAATGAAAAATAACAAATCCTTGGATTATACACTTGGTTTCAAACAGAAATATTTTTACTAGTTCAATTACTTTTATTCTTTTTTAAATCGGATATCTTTGTTCAAATGTTTCATTTTACAAATTCTGCTTTTCCAACAGTCTTGGTCAGAAAATGAGGAACTCTTCTACGCCGAGTGTTGTGTCGCTTAAGAGCGAGAAATCAATGGATTTCCCTCTCAATTACAAAGATTCTTCACATTCAGAGTGAGTAAATCCTGTTTTTCATTTTTACAAGACATATACAACCTAAGGTCAAAGCAGATATTCATATGCTTGGTTTCTGTTTTGAGTTGCACTTTCTATAATATATTTCCATATGGCAAACTCTGTCTTACAAACGATGCTTTTTTCATAGACAATCCATTGTTTGCAAATTTGAACAACTTCAGTTTGCCTTATTGCTTTTTGTAATTAAACT